ACAACGCAAAGCGATTGCTCGGCGTTAGCAGAAAACAGCAGAAATAGCCCTTCTATGGTAATCAAGGTTTAATGACTTTATATAAGAGTTGTATTCACCCTATTTCATTTAATTTAATTAAGGTCTGGTAGTTGAAGCTTCCCGTAATTGTATGAGTAGGCCTCAAGTTCCCATAGCCCTACTCCCCACTAAGAATCCTAGTCCAAAATAGACTATGATTTCGATTTAGCCAAGATTTCGTCGAAGTGTATGGAGGAATATAGTGAGTTGTATAGGTTATATGGAAGAATTAAACTGCCAATCCCTCATCACCTTAAAATAAATTTCATACCCACTGGTGTTCTATAAAACCTACTAATGAAGTGAAAAATAAGTGATGCAACCGAATGCTATAGCAAATTCAACAATCCTACAACCGAAATGTGATATGGAAAAGGCTTAGCCTTCCTTGAAATGCTCTTCTGCCCTGTGGCCCAAGGGCACTTGTTGCAAACTGTCGTAGGGATTAACTTGTTGGGATTATAAGCCGTAGTGCAACAAACCTGATTTAAGTCTCGCTTGGGGTGCGAAATGGAAGTCCACTTCGGTCTGGATGAGAATATCTTTTTGGAAAGCAAAGCAATTTAATGGAAACATTTGGCCTACTCATATCAGTGTGGGGCAGTTTGACCATCAATCCTTCATCATCTTAAACGGAATAGGATGGATACTGCTTTTATATCATATCTATTGGTAGTCTTGAATATCTACATATAAACGAAAAATGAATGACTCTTTATTGTTGACTCATTTATACGATCCTCTAGCAGCTGAATTGATAAGCTATATGAGAATTAGGGAAAAAAGTTTGACATCATTTGGACAAAATTAAAGAATAATAATATGAGATGTATTCACCTAATTTCGTTTAAGGTGAGGAAGGACTGGTAGAAGACGAATTTTCCCACAATCATATGAGTTGAGCTGACGTTTGCATTGAATTTCACCTCGCTTTGCTTTCTCAAAAGTGGCTATGTGAAATTCAATGGAAACGTCAGCTCAATTCATATGATTGTGGGAAAATTCTTCTTTTACCAGCCCTTCATCATCATAAACGAAATTGGGTGAATACATCTCATACTACTGATTTACTGGTAGTCTCGAAAACAATACTTAATTCGAAAAATAAAGAATAATAGTTGAGTTGTCATCTTTTGGAAAGCTGCTCAATCTTTTTTCTACCTTTAAGTCTATCAATCGAGCATGTATACTTCTTAAAAATTTTTTTGCATCCAAATGTAATTTTCACATTCCTCCGTTGACTGTAGATTTGCGTTTTGCAACTGCATACCCAAATTCGCCTTGGACCAAGTGTTCCATATGCTCTCTCATTCCAGACTTCTGTAACCAAAAGCCGCCTCTACATGGATTGTGTGTTTCATCGGTCTCTAGCGAATGAAGTGACCATTCCCTTCAATCTGAGGTCTGCCAAAGGAATCTAACATTTTGTAGCGGCCCAGTTTGCATAAAAAGTGGTACTTCTCTCGTTACTTTGGCACAATCAGAGAAGAATGCTGATCTGGCCACATCATAAATCGCATTTCACACCAAGTAGCCCACTCAGATTACCAGTTACGACCAAATAATAGAAACGATTTTGATTTAAGTAGCCTTTTAGACTTCCGCTAGTTCATGAATTAGAGCACAATCAGTTCAGGTCGCTCAAAGTGATTCGAGTACAAATAGTTGAATGCTTCTCACGACGTCACTTCATATCACATTAAGCCTTGCCTCGCTCTCAATTGCACCGACAAACACATGTTTCCCCAATCGAAAAATCCCCTATGCAAGTGTGAATTGGACGAGGCCCGGTCTGCTTTGAATGTCACATTTGTCCTGTGAACGTGTGGCCGTGTAGTCGAGTGGTAACAGTCGCAACGAAACTCACGGTCCGGATTCGAGTCTCGCTGGAGGTGCTGATGAGACCATGCGATCCAACGGAGAGGCAGAACTAAGTGAACTTCAACGCTATTTATGCTGTCACAGAGAAGTGTGGATAAAAATTACACACAATCATACTCGGCATTCCCAGCTGGACTCGAACCAAGGACTCGTCGAGCCCCAGGCCACACAGCGCTGCGAGGTAGGTACAACTTCGTGGACAAAACCAGTCTCTCCTGATTCAACTCATCTACTCATCTTACGCACTAACAAACATCTTTAATATAGAGCATTCGAGACAGATTGTCCAAATAGTGAGACCAATTAATTGCCGTTTGCAGGATATATTTTCAGTGCGAACAGGTTTTGGGAATAATCAGATTTTTGTTAACAGCAACCTTGTCGTTTTGGTAGGCTTCAGTTTGCACTTGGATTTCACAAAGAAGACATTTCAGGAGGCAAGGCTTTTTAAACTTCAATGACATTGTAAGGCTTGCTGACTACTTTATGGGAAAATTCCACTATCACTATTCGAAATCACCTTAACCGACCTTGGAGATGACTGAATTCTATTCAAGCATTGCCTCATCAAAAGATATGCTTTGAAAGCCACAAATATGTCCTCTCAACCGGTCAGAGAGGCTGAAATGAATGACACTTGTGTATTTATATAAAGTGAGTTACGAGGCTAAGAATACATTTTCAGCAAGAGTCCACCGCTCTAAATGGCATATGGTGATGAAGAACTGATAGTGAAATTTTCCCACAATCATATGAATAGACCTCACGATGCCGGTGAATTTCACTTAGCCTTGCCCCTCATAAGGTATGCATCTTCAGACGGGACTGACAGCTTCAGACAATTTTCACTTGGTCTGGGATTCAGCAACATTTACAAAGGGATTCGAACCCGAGGCATGCAGTGCTTATATTCAACCTGACATCACTACTCAGTGTGTACTGGGGCTAGTAACCGATTCTCTTCTATCTCTTCATTGTGAACTGTATGTTCCTTTCATAATGGCCACATGATAAAATAGTCATCCATGTAACTAACCAACAGCCTAGTGGTTACTAGGAGTTAAGCAAATTGATAGATTAGGAAATGCGTTGAATTTGAGGAACGCTGGAAGAAAGTTGTTTAAGAACTACTTCCTTCTGGAGTGAGTAGGTTTTAGAAAAAATTAATGTTGTCGATTGCAATAGCAAATGTAAGTTTGCTTCATTGACAATCTCAACACAGAATCTGATATGAAAAATGCCTGACATTGCTTGCAATTCACGTGTGCCCAGTGACCCAAAAGCCCTCATGTCATTGTGGCCGAGTGGTTCAAGTTGACCACTTACAGCTTACATGTCATGATTCGAATCCCGCTGGAGGTCGAAATTGCAGCCAACTTCAGTCTGAATGGGGAAAGCAAGGTTTGTGAAATTCAATAAAAAAACATCAGTTCTACTCACAGCATTGTGGGAAAGTCCAACTGCCAGTCCTTCATCCCCTTAAACGAAATAGAGTAAACAAAACTCATATAATTACTTTTTTTTATTCATAGATTGATGGGCAGAGAGGATGTTGAGCCGCCATCCAAAAGAAGGCGACCCAACTGGTCTGCTCAATGATGGTTCTTACTTCCCTCCTTCCACTCGTCCAACATGTTCGATTAATTGTTGGGCTTACTTCCATTTCGAGTGGAAGTGTTGGGTGAAGAGATTCGAAGGTCGGTTCCACCAGAAGGTGACGGCGTGTTCCTCGTGGTCAGTTTTTGATTGGCTTTACTGGAACGGTCATTGTGACGCTGTTTCCGAGGTGATCTCCTCTCGATTCCGGCGAAAAGGTGCCATGCTTTCGTGCTTCACATGACGAACATTATCGTCACAACCAAATTCAAGCTAACGAGTCAAGAAAACTTACCGGCAAATCCTTAAAAAGTGGTATATATATATTCTACATCTGGCCTCTTTGATCAAGTATAATGTGATTTGGTTAGTTACGGTCATATGTCAACCTCGAAGCCTGCGAGTGTATCTGCCTCTGTAGGTATATGGGCCTGTTTGTGTTCGTTCTTGAACGAAATATGCAGTGATGGCTCAAAGTAATTAGGACAACAAAGTGAACGTCTCTTCTCAGCCATCAAGGTTTGACACTTTCACTCGAAACGGAAGTAAGCTCAACATTTGTGAAACAATAGAGACCTCGAAACCTAACTTTTCTTCGCATGTTAGATTAAGGTCAGCAACTAAACCAGCCCCAGTCACGCCCTTTCTTGGGTGGTTAAACCTTAGCGACCCTAGACTGATATGTTAGGACATGTGATTTCGTAACTTACACAGTTACAAGCTTACATCTCATAATCTCAACCATACTTGTTTATGGACTTACGCAGTCTCGGTCAGGGCTTTTTCTTAGACCATTAAGTCCTGATGCTCAGAGCATTAGCCTTTTTCGATCACTCTAACTTAGGACTAGTGTTGAGTTTATACGTAAACACACACACACACACACACATATATATATATATATATATATACATACACACACAGAGACACATAATTGAGCAAAAGTAGTAGGGTGAAAATGAAAGAAAATTAGCTAAACTATCCTATATCTTTCTAAGCCTATTTATTTTAGTTTTTACTTATAAGTATAGTCAACAAGTAAAATAGAGCCGGATAGTCTTTGTGATCGAGTGTTAAATTGAGACTTTTACAGAAATGAGTTCCAGCTCAGATGATGTCCAGCGTTTGATGAACAAAGGCTCAGCCCATTTTCACCCGAAAAGAGGGACGATTCTCGTGAACTACACCAACCTGATGTATGCAGAAAGAAGGAGATCGGGGTCATAAAAACTTGATGGCCAAAAACAGACGAACCTATTTGCTGTCCTAATTACGTGCATATGCGAACACAAACTGGAACATACACATACAGAGACAGACACACTCACATGCATCGAAGTTGACATATTGCCTTAACTAATGAAATCACTTTATATTTGATCAAGATGTAGAGTATATATACCACTTTTTAGGGATTTGCCAATGAATTTTCTTGACTTGTTAGCTTGAATTTTGTTGTGACGATGTTACCTCGCTTTGATGATGTTCGTCATATGACGGACGAAAGCTTAGCACCTTTTCTCCGGAATGGAAGGAGATTGCCTCAGAAACGGCGTCAGCATGAATCTTCCAGTAAAGCCAATCGACAGCTGGTTAAGAGGATTCAGCCGTCGTCTTCTGGTGGAACCGAGCCTACAATCTCTTCACCCAACACTTCCACTCGAAAGGGAAGTAAGCTCAACCATTATGAAACAAGAGATTCCTCGAAACACAACTTTTCTTCGCTCAACAATTATGTGAAAGTCATTGGAAACGTCAACTCTACACATATCATTGTGGGAAAAATCAACTACCAGTCCTTCATCACCTTACACAAAATAGGGTCAACACAACTCATCTATCTATTCTTCCTCTTACATATACTCATAATTGATAGAGGCCTGATAGTGTCATGATAATACCTCATCATAATGAGAACGAGGAAAAAGCAAAACTACAGTTTAACCACGTAACAACTCAATAGCTTACTTTTTGAAGAAACTTCACTACCAGTCCGTAAATCACTCTTTAAGCCATTTTGGGAAAATAAGTTCGTAATAACTGATTGCTCGAAAATTAACTCTTCCCTAACATAATCCAGCCGGGACCACTTAATCCGGCAGTCTCCTGTTGTATCTGGACCTCATTTGCTGAGTTGGTGGATCAGCTTCTTTTAGGTATCAGCAGGATCTGGAGGAACTAAAATGAAAAAAATTAAGGACTTTTATCTTAATTTTTAGTAAAAGTAGGTATTTGGAGTAAACCTTATCTGTTCTCAGCCGCATCCACGACGCAAATTCCATGATTTTCCCACTTCTAGTCTCTTGTGTGCCAATCAGCAAATGTTTGAGCTCCTTAATTGGTCTGATTGACTCAGTGCGGAAGGCTTTTCTTGAGTTCTGATTGCCTCTCGGAGCCTCTTCTTTCAATTGCCTTTCTTCATGATCAAACTCATTTCTTGTTCTGATCATTTCCTTTTCACCGATCTTGCTGCTCCTTTGTTTCCTACAAATTTGGTTAAGCAATAAGGAAGGATTTATAAAAAACTCTGCATCAGATTTCTTTTAGTCAAGATATTCTTAGCCTCTTGACTCTGGCATTTACTTCAATTTTTACTGTAAGCGTCCAGTTTTACTGTTGCTTTCCAACCGATCCGATGTCGAATCTGAGCAAAGTAGCTATTCAAGTCTTGCATTAGCTTTCTTGATTGCAGCTGTCATTTTTTGAATTCTTTTTCTCATTCATCCAAGCATGCATTTTCCAGAATAGGAGAGAGTTGAGAACAAATATTTATATTGTTTGGGAGACTTTTATTTCGTATGAAGGTGAATGAAGAAGAGATTCATCCGTCCTCATCTGGTGAGATCAACCAACGAATCTCTTCTTCATTCACCTTCATACGAAATGAAAGTCCCCTTTACAATATAAATTCAAGAGATTCATTGAAACTCAGTTTCTCTTCGTATCTACAAATATTTATAATATATGGGTATAACAATGTATAATATAACATAAATATAAGTAATTATGAAGACTTTGTTGTTCCTTTATTCGCAGGTTGATTTTCCTTCCTGTCTTGCCAGCACACTTCTGCTATTAATTACCGCGTATTAAGCGATAAACTCCTAATAAATCCAGTTTTTCCACTATCTCTTGCTGTTTTAGCAAGCCAGTGATGATTGTTTCACCCTTTTTGTGACCACTTCTACATTGTTGAGCTTACTTCCATTTCGAGTGAAAGTGTTGAGTTAAGAAATTCGAAGGTCGGTTCCACCAGAAGACGACGGTGGATTCCTCTTGACCAGCTGCTGATTGGCTTTACTGGAACATTTTTGATGACACTGTTTCTGAAACAATCTCCTTTGATTCAGGTGAAAAGATGCTAAGCTTTGGTCCGTCATATGACGAACATCATCAGATGGAGTTAACATCGTCACAACAAAATTCAAACTAAAGACTCAAGAAAACTCACCAGCAAATCCTTAAAAAGTGGTGTTATCTTCTGGTGGAACCGACCTTCTAATCTTTTCACCCAAAGCTTTCACTCGAAATGGAAGTAAGCTTAAAAATTGTGAAACAAAAGATTCCTCGAAACCCAACTTTTCTTCACTTCTACATTCCAACTTCTCATTAACGACCACATGTAATAATCTGCCGACAAGAGGGCAGGTGTATCCACATCTTTATTATACTAAAGACCACAGAATCTTGCCGTTTAAAACTTTCATTTATCGACACTGATCATATTTTCACAATACCTAGATGGCCATCTGACCTTTACGATTCTTATATTTCTATACACAACTCCTCTATGGTAACCGTTAATAAGCAAAATCCGAGCCGGCTTGTCAGACATTTAGTCCCAGAACTCCATAATTTTCACTCAAGCTTCTGCGGATCAAGCTTCCCACTACTTTAAGCTTCACTTCGTAGTTACAATGAGACTGACAATTTAGGAATATTCTTTAGGCAATATCTTTTTATGCTTTCTCCTCTTGACTGTCCAGTAGGAACAAATGACTTTGACATCCACCTTGATTTTTAATTTGATTTTTTCTTCAAATTGTTCGATAAAATTGATGCATTCTTCCAATCCTTTCCATCCTGCGTCCAAGATACAAATTAGTTGTCCAAGTATTGCATTATCTCTCTCGATTGCAGCTATCATTTTTTGAAGTTTCCTTCTAATTTGTCCATGCTTGCAGTTGCCAGAATAGC